AAAAAGCTTTGTTCTGTAATTTCAATCATTCTTGAGTTGGTGGGGCAATGTATTTTGCAGGATGGTAGACAACTCATGCCATTAAAAATCTAGCTCTTAGCTAAGCCATTCTTCTAGAAGGGCTTTCATTTCCTGTCTTGAGCTAAACTGACAAGCATTCAAACTCTGTTGTAGAGAGTGCAACTCACATGGGCTGGCCACGTTGTTCAAATGCCAAACATAAGCTTTCCTAAAAGACTTTTATGGAGAACTCTTACAAGGAAGATGCTCACATGTACAAAGACATTCTCAAGGTCTCTCTGAAGAACTTTGGAATTGACTGCATGGCATGGTTGGCGCTGGCAAAGAACCACCCGTGGCGTGCCTGCATCAAAAAAGGTGCTGTGCTTTGTGAGCAAAGCAGAATTGTAGTAGCTTAAAAGAATGAGATGTGCAAATTTAGAGACATCTCCACCCCAAATGTTCATATGGACTATTTGTGCCTGACCTGCAGTAGAGCCTCACCAGCTAATATTTGGTTGATTAGCTACAATTGAACACACTGTACCTTGACCCCAACATAGTGACGTCATTTTGGTCCTCTTGGAGCACGACAACCATTTATCATACTTCTTTTCTCCTGTTGTTCAGTCTTCTCTCCTCCCTTTGGAATCCTGGGTATACCCTTTTCCCCACTGTCCTGATTCCTCACAGTTAACCGGGCTGAAGACTTCCTCCTCACACATAAATACTCCCTCCTATGCACCAGTGTCCCCATTCACTTTTTCTTGCCCAAATTACATTTTCCCTTTTTGTTCCACCACCCCAGGTTCCATATACCCATTGAACCCTACAAACTCTGGCTGCTTTAAAAGGCATAGCTTCCAGGACTAGGGAGGTGAGATTCCCATTGTCCTCTGCCCTGGTCAGAACATACCTGGAACATTGTGTTCAATGCTGGGTGCCACGTTTAGGAAGAAAATCAGTGAGACAGAGATGGCACCTGGATGGTAGTAAGAGGCTTAGTTGAAGAAACCAGGGATAATTAGCCTAGAAAAGAGTTAGACATAATAAGCTATCTTCAATTATTCAAAGGTCTGTTACGTAATGGAAGAATACTTGTTCTGCTCAGCCCCAGAGGACAGAACTAGAAACAGTGGCTAGAAGTTGCAAATAGGCAGATTTAGGCTTGATAGAGGGAAATTTTCTAAAAGATAGAGGGTTCCATCTCAACAGAAATATTCTAGCAGAGGTTGTATGACCACTCACTGGGTGTGTTGTAGTGGAGATTCCTTTTCAGATACCAGTTGGACTAAATGGCTGCTGAAATTCTGTAATGCTGTAATTCTGTGACCACTCCTTCAGGAAAAGATCCCCTTTGCTGTGGTTGGGGCAGACCGTGAGCACATAGTTAATGGGAAATGTGTCCTTGGCCGGAAGACAAAATGGGGAATCATTGAAGGTGAGTGCAGGGTAGGTGGGAAAGGAGACTCTGAGAGGATAGAGGTTATGGAGTTAGTGATGGTTGAACTTCAATGGAAAGAACCATTAGTGAGGGATGGGTTAGTGTTTTAGCTGGCACAGTGCCTCATACATAATTAGGAGCTCAATCAATATTGGTTGAATGAATGAACAAAATGATACTAGGGAAGAAAGAGCCCTTGTACTCAGTTTGTTCAGTTCTGTAAGCTTAAAGTGCTATATAAAAGTTAGCTATTGTTATTATTTTTAATTATTCCAGTGGAGAACATGGCTCATTGTGAATTCCCTCTCCTGAGAGACCTGCTAATCCGGTAAGAGGGAAACCAGGGAAGGTTAGAAGGGCATGTAGAAAGAAGGGCGGAGACATGTTGGGTTCAATTGGGCCCTGAGATGAAGAGAGCTGCATAGGGGAGGGTGGATAAGAGGGCATAGGGAGGTCTGAAGTGACTAGTTAACCTTCTCTCTCAAGCTCCCATATGCAGGACCTCAAAGACATCACCCATAATGTTCACTATGAAAATTATCGAGTACACAGATTAAATGAGAGCCACCTATTAACAAAGGGGCCTGGATGGGTGACCTTGAGCCCACCCTCCCAAAGGACCACTGCCGGACCCTGTCAAGGCCTGCGCTGGAACCAAGAAGATTTAGAAAATGGTTCCTGAATGGTTTGAACCTGTCAAACCTCTCATACTCAAGACCCCTCTGACTTTCAATCTCACAACTCTTCTCTATACTGTTCCCTTTCACCACAACCAGATAAATTTGGACTCTTCCAAGACATCAGACCGTGGTCCCTCCCACTCCAACCATCCTCCTCCTACTTTGTACTAACTTTGGGAGTATCAAGTTAGAAATTTCGTCTTTGAAAGTCATGCTTTGTAAATTGCTTGATTTTTGCGCTTCGATGAATTTTTATGAATAAAAATACAACTTTGAAAGGAAGGCTTCTCTAACCAAAAGACTCTCTGGGTCCTATTGCCAGGAGTCTTGTAGGACTTATAGGGTTTCCCCAGGCCCAATCTTACTCTAACCCACTACAAGTTACAAGTCACATATGGAATTTGTAACCCCCAAACAAGTTACACAGTTCCCCGTGGACAAGTTATCCATTCCAGTCTTCTCAAGACCCAGTGCTAAGTACATAGAAAGTACTTGTTGACTTCACTGTTCATCTTGACTACATTTCCCAATAGTCTTCCTTCATCTACTTGTTCTTCAGTATCTTATATCCTTCATACCTTTCTCTCTATCTTTTCCTTTTACCATAAGAAACGTGTGTCACAGCTTACTAGGATATTGAAAAGCTTTGCCTCAACCAGCCTAAAGATTAAAACTTGTGTTCCCCTGAACATTCTTAAAAGCTGGAGACCTGTTGCTCTCTGAGTCCCAAATAGTAATCAACTTTATCATTAACCAGTATTCCCTGAATATGGCATTTTGTTGAACAAACCACTGTCCTAAATCTTGTATAGAATTCAAATTTATTCCAGCTCTGTCCATAAATTTTGAAGCCTATATTCCACCTGAAGCATCAATAGATATGAGGTAATAGAGAAGGACCTAGTCATTTAATCCCATCCATTAAGAAAACATTGCCTGATGGCTCCTAGGCCATAGTGACTTCTTTCTCTCTCAATTCCCAGTGATTTAGTGAAGGGAAAGAGCATTGGTTTTGGCATTAATTAATATCCTAGCTATGTTTTATATAACACTTGTATGTCTTGGGTAAGTAATTTAACCTCCTTGGGCCTCAAGCTTCCTCATTTGTAAAATAAGGGGCTTAGAGGTAACTAGGTGGCCCATGCTAGGATAGAGCACCTGCCCTGGAGTTAGGAGGAATTGAGTTCAAATATGGCCTCAGACTCTTACCAGCTGTGTGACCCTGAGCAAGTCACTTAATTCCAATTTCCTCCAAAAGATAAAAGAAAAAGTGGGGGTGGGGGGTGTACTAGATGATCTCTAAGGACTCTAAGGGCCTTTCTAGCTCTAAATCTGTGATCAGATGGACTCTATTACCTAATGTTTTCCTCACAACAACCCTGAGAGGGAAGGAGACAGCATGATAAAATGTGGAAAAACATTCACAATCTGCCTCTTACTACCCTGGGCAAATATCACTTTTTTTTTTTTTTGGTGAGGCAATTAGGGTTAAGTGACTTGCCCAAGGTCACACAGCTAGTAAGTGTCAAGTGTTTGGTCTGAGGCCGGATTTGAACTCAGGTCCTCCTGACTTCAGGGCCAGTGCTCTATCCACTGTGCCACCTAGCTGCCCCTAAATATCACTTTGGATAACTTAACATCCTTCAGCCTCACAATCCTCTTCTGCAAAATGAAGAGGTTGGACTATATGGGTTTCTGTTCTGTTCCAGGCCTTTCATAGGCTGGTCCAGTGGTGTAGGTTTGGGACCGGAAAAAATGGAGACACTTGTCTTGATACTCAATGAAGAAGTTTACTTAACAACAACATGTGAAGGACAAAGAAATACAGCATTTATTTAGTCAAGCACAGTTTCCCTGCCTCCACTTTTGCCATTCTGGCACTGGGACACTACATTTTACTTCAGGGTAGAGGTGAGGGAGTATAATATAGCCTCAACTAGGTCTGTGATCTCAAGGATTCAGATATTTCCCACTGTTATGTCTGTCCACATTATGCTACTCCTGTTCATGTCCTTCCATAAATTCACCACAGAGGTTTCACCTACCATTCTTCGAACTTTCCTTGCTTCCTTTGGACATCATAAGGATACCAGCAGAGCACACAGGCTCTCCATTGGCTTTCCCTCATTCTTGCTGCATAACCAACTCCATCTTTTCTGCTCATATATTTCTTTGACATCCTATTTTACTCAAAGCCGCCTAATCTCTTTGTTGCTATGTGTTGCAGCTTACACCCAAAAGGTAACCTCTCCAATGCCCCCCCCATACTCTTTTCAATTCTTGTACCATGAATAGCAGAAACAGACAGGCAGCAGCAGCAGTAGAATGCTGGTGTTTTTTGTTTGTTTTTTTCATGGACCTTTTTAAAAAGACAACTTTAGGATGATTAAAAAAAGTCATAAAATTTTCCAAAAACAATCTAGCCCATCTCCTGCGTGAAGCTCATCATCCATTTGCGAAGTCTAAGATCTTCAGGTTGTCCATTTAATTGATGATTATCCTCTAGATAAAAGGCATTCTTCCTCCACTAATTTTTTCCACGTGTATAATTAGGTCAAATTCTCTTGAGTGGTTACCATTTCCATCCAGGAAGCAATGAAATACTCGATGCAATCTGAACAATGTTATCCACTGGGAATCTCTGCACAGCAATCCCTTTCCAACTTGAATCCAAGTTGGATCTCTTCTCAGACAGAAAATGCATTTTTTAACTGGAGCTCAGCGCCCTGTTTTATGCCTTGCCTGACATTAGGGGGAATAAATATTTATGTTGCACTCTCTATATGCTAGGCACTGTGCTAAACACGCTTTAGTGTTTAGAACAACTCTTCAAGGTAGGGGCTAGCCCCATTTTACAGTAGAAGAAACTGAGGCAAATGGAGCTGGGTGCGGGGAGGACACGGTGCACCCTGGGATTTGTAGTCCAGACACGAAGCCCAGGTACGTAGTTCTCCTGCCTTCCAATCCCAGCTGCTTCCGCTTCCTTCCGCCCGGTCCCCGAGACGCCGGCGAGGCTGCGGTTCGCCAGCGACTGGCTCCCGCAGGCGGTGAGTGACGGACGCGGGAGCTGGGAGCTGGGAGCTGGGAGCTGGGAGTGGGGTCCTACGCCTGTCGTCCAGGCGCGATGGGGGACGGGGTCGCCTCGCCCCGTCCGTCAGAGGAGGTGCAGGGCTGGACACCTGGTCGTGGAGGCTCAGGGCGCCTCGCATCTTATGCCCCCGTTCGGGCCCCCCCCCCCCCCCGCGGCGAATAAAAGGGAATAAAAAAAGCCCTCCCTGCGTCCGGTCAAAAAGGGAAAAAAATAAGAGCGTGGGCAGGGGCTGGGGCGGGGCCGGGACCACGACCACGACCGCCGCTCCCTTTCCCCCTCCCCACCTCCACCGGAACACGCGGAGAAACCCGGGGCAACACGGGAAAGAGGAACCCAGGGGCGGGAAAGATACGGAAGGGCGAGGGCCGGCAGCGTTCGCGCGCGTGCACCGGGAAATGCAGAAGGTTTTGTCCCTGTTAACTTTAGCTTAACTAACTCCAGGGTTGAGAGGCTTTAAACAGAGAATCGGTCCTGGAGTCAGAAAGATCTGGGTTCAAATGCAGCCTCTGACATCCTGGCGGTTTGACCTTGGACAGTTTATTTGAGAACTATAGATTTCATTCTATACAATATTCATGTGAGTACTATAGTACTTAGCCTGGAAAGGAGAGGGTGGGAGGAGAAATGGGAAATATTGGCTTCTCCTATTTTCTGGACTCTGTGTTCCAGGGATCAGCTAAGTGGTGAAGGGTATAGAGAGCTGGACCTGAAATCAAGACCTGAATTCAAATGTGTCCTCCGACACTTAATAGCTGTGTGGCCCTGGGCAAGTCTCTTAACCTCTTTTTCCTATCTGTAAAATGGGGATAACAATAGCACCTACTTCGAAGGGTTGTAGCTGTGTCACCCTCTGATTGCCTCGGTTTCCTCATCTGTAAAACTGGGATAATAACACCTACACTGGAGAGTTGTTTGAGAGTCAAATGAGATAATTGTAAAGTGCTTAGTACAGTGCCTGGCACATAGTAATGGCTACATAAATGTTAGATATTATTATTACTATCCTGTCAAAATTTTCAGGCTGCATGAGGGGGCATATATAAGGGATATAACTTCAACCAGCATCTGCTGTGTGACCCCAGAACTCTCCTGGACCTTAGGTTTACAAAGACAAAACCCAAACAGTTCCTGCTGTCAAGTGACTTATTCTCTGGCAGGGTAAGGGCATGTGGGAGAGGAGGTATTTACTAAGTGCTGTCAATATTGGATGTATACTGAGTAATTCCGAGGGAGGGAAGGCAAGGCACTGACAACTTGAGGATCAGAAATGACTTCTTGTAGAATATGGTAGCATTTGAGCTGAGTTTTGAAAGGAGCTAGGGATTCTAGGAGGCAGCAGTCAGGAGGAATTGAATTCTAGCCAGAGAGAACTGTGGCAAGTAGGACAGTTCTGCAGTAATCAGAGTATGTGCTGTGAGCCTGGAAAAGAAGCCTAGAGGCAGATTGTGAAGGTCTTTAAATGCTAAATAGTGGAGTTTGTCTTTTATCCTAAAGGCAATACCGAGCCCCTGGAGCTTCCAGAGCCCTGTAGCATTGTCAACCTGTTCCATAAAAATTAGCAGGACTGTTCTCTTAAGGATGGACTTTGGAGGCAGGGAGACCAAACAGGAGGCTATTGCAATAGTCCAGGCAAGAAGAGTTAATAAGGACCTGTGCCTGTTCTCTAAAAAAAAGGTCTTTTCTCTGGGATGGGACAATAAGAATTAACAAAGCTTGCCCTTGATAGAGAGGATGAGAGCAGTATGAAGAGGCCTTATTTGGCACCAAAATGACTGGGTGTTCTTCACCCAGATGCTCTCTTTGCAAATGAGCTGATGTTCAATCATTTATATATTTGGGTTCTTCATACATAATCCCCAGGAGCTGGGTAACCGCTTATGACTTCTTTCTCTTCCTATAGCTTGGGATTCCCACCTGGTTAGTGAAGGGCATTCAAGAGCCAACTGAAGACCGGGAAATGGTGGTGGCTCTTCATCCAGTGGAATCCCAGGTGAGCCACGATTCCCCTTGTACCATCCGTGGTCTTGAGTGCTTCTTTGCTTCCTCTTTTCTCTTTTCCTACAAAGCCTTGTGTGCCCACATATACTGAAAATCCACTTTACAATTTTTCTGATGAAAGAGACTGCTATCTGATATCCAAGATATGTTGGTACCTAACGCAAATATATAACCCATTTCTCAATGGATAAGTAGGCCAAGGATATGAACAAATAATTCCCAAAAGAATTGCAAACTGTTAATAACCATATACAATAGGATTCCAAAGCACTTAATAATAAGAGCTGTGCAAAACATAACAACTCAGAGGTTTTACTTCACACATTCACTTAGCGCTTTGGCTAAGAAGACAGAAGTAGGGAATAGTCATTGTTGCAGGGATTTTGGAAAGGCAAATATACTAATTCATATGTAGATGTGTAAAAAGGCCCAAGTATTTTGGAAAACAGTTTCAAATTATACGATGGAAGTGATGAAAACGTTTATGCTTTTTGACCCAGAAATCCTACTGTTAGGCATGATGCCTCAAGGAGGTCAGAGGTGTAAACAAAGATCCCATATATTTATAGCAGCACTTTTTGTGGTAGTAAAAGACTGGAAATGAAATAGATACCCATTGTTTAGAAAACAGATGAATAAATTGTACATAAATGTAATGTAATATCAAAAATGACAAATATGAAAAATACAGAGAGACCTATGAGGGATTGCCCTTTGAGGAGGGAAGGATATATTTGCAAATTAAGAGGATGTAAAAAAATTTTTGTGAAAGAAACTTCCATAAATCATTTGTTAAAGGAGATCTTGGCTGATTTCTGTGCCATTCCCTTTGCCTCTCATCTCTTACTTCGCTGAATTCACATATATGTCTCTGGGTGCCATCTCCTTTGGTCCTGATCTGTATCTGGCCACTGGACCCAGGTGGCTTCGGAGGAAAAAGCGAGCCTGGTGACCTTGCACAGCCCTCCCTCACTTAAATCCAATTCACTCGCAAGTCATGGCATCGTTTTTCTGACGTCATGATCCTCTTTGAGAATGAAGGACAAACAATGATCTATTTTGCCTCTAGAAGATTTCCTTCCATCCTTCTAGAATTTATGGTGAAGTGCTGAATGAGAGTCTTGCATGGTTTCAGGGACTGGTGGTCGTTGAGGATCTCGCTGTGTATTTCTGCCAAGAGGAATGTGTTAACCTTCACCCCATTCAGAAGGAACTCCACTCAGACATCAAGCAAGACAGTTTCATGGATGTGATACCACTGGGTAAAGATTTGAAAGTGACTTCTTATCCCCTTCTTTTCACTTTTGTACTTCTGTTTCAGTGCCTTTACTAGTCTGACCTTATTCAAGAAGTAACTTCTCTAAGTGGCCTTCAAATAATTTGTTTTTGAAAGAATGTACTCTTTCCTCTTCATATTTGGCTGCAGAGAAAAAGCTAATATCTCATGTGGTTAAAGGGATAAACAAGCTGACTATCTAATGACTTGTGTTCTTGATTTATTTCTGTGTATATTTAGTATTTTATTTTAGAATCATAGCTAAAATTTTAGAATTTCTCTGTTTCAACCTTTGGCCTCCAAATAAGATTTTGTCTAAGCTGAAAACATTTAGTTGATTGTCCTTTTCTTCCTGATTTCCAGGGAAAACTTTCATAACCTTCTTCAATAACTGGTTCTAGTGTTTAATAGCTCTTAACAGCTAGGAAATGTTTTCTTATGGCTAATATAAATATTTTCTTCTATGATTTGAGCTTGTGTTTTCTTTTATGCTGTTTTCATTTGAGATAAAGAAGGACAAGGAACTCTGTTCTTTTTGACAACCTTTCAGATACTTAGCATATTTGCCTACTGTGCTGAAGCAGAGATATTAGTCTAAGAAAAACCTGAAGAAAAATTCATGGTGAAAGCAATGCCTCCTAATAATGACAGTCAACAAATTCTTAATTGGGGCACACCTCTTAATTCCATTGCAGTTTCAGCCTGTTTTTTTTTTTTCCTTAGTATTTCTCAGTGGTAATGGAGAAAAATCAGTCGCCATCATCTGGCTAGTAGCTCTTCATATATTTGTGATTGGGCTTTAACATCAAGGTTCCTCCTCTTTCCTGGAAGAGAATGGTTCCCACCCCTTTACATTGCTGTGTGTTGTTTTAGTGGAATTATTGCAAATCTTTATTAACAAATAATTGAGTGGTAGCAATGTTCAAGGCATTATACTAGATGCTGTACCAGTTGGCAAAATTTGATTTAAGATGGAGTCCTATCCATTAAAAAAGAAGAAACTGATATCATTTATGGAAGTTTCTTTTTCATATATGTACTTCTCAGTTCTGTATTGAAATTTTAGTGATAAAAATTAGGAGTTACTAGGAAGTAAGGGACCAGCTAACTTTTTAGCAAATGCTTTTAGTTTGGTCAAGACTTTTAGTGGAATATTTCCTGTTTCCTTCTATTATAATAGCAAGGATTATCCAAATTCTCCATAAATTGCTAATCAATTTATGGAATTATGAAATGGGAGCAGGCACACCTAGTTATTTGGGTACTCACCAGGAAAGACCACAATGGCACTGGGAAGTGAGGCTGCAATCACACTTTAATAAGGCACGGAAGGTACAGGGGCAAACAGACACAGAAAGTACAGAGACAAGCAGCGAAAAGGGCGGAGTACAGAGGCAGGTGGTGTGGGGATGAGGATAGGGTGATGGATGGAGGAAGGCAGGCGTTGTGAGGAAGAGAATGGGAAGGGGAGAGGTACAGAGTCATTCACATAACCGCGGAACAGAGTTGGGAACACTCAGCAGCATGGACCCAATGGAGACAGAAAAATACTTGGGGGTAAGGAGAAGCAGGCGTTTGAGGTCTAATTTTTATAGGGTTTCAGTGGGGGATCAAACTAATTCTTTAACTGTGCAACCTTGGGGTTAGTTTATTAACATACTTTAAAGTCAACATTTCCGCGTCATCTCAGCACCATTTGGCATTCTGCTGGTCTGTGGATGCCTGGAACTTATCTGAGACAGCAGTTTTCAGGATTTGGGGTCAATACATGATACAGTTTGCAAATTATGTTCCTTTGATCTTTGGGGTGACCTATATGTGACTCCTAGTTCCTCTTTGCCATCTTATTTCTTGCTTTTGTTACTTTATGCTGGTTACTTATACTGGCTACTTAATTACTATATTGACTAGAAGGAGGGTGGTTAGGGGAACCAGAACAAGATACAATTTAACTCACTCCCTAAGCTTTGTTGGGCTTCCTGATCACTGAATCTCCTCAATACATTTCTGTGAACTCACAGTTATTGTTAAGACTAGATACAAGGCCTTTTGATTCAATTTTCTTTTCACCCCAAGTTTTTCTTCAGATTTCTTTTAACTTAACTAGTCAGCCTTAGCCCAGAAGGATGAAAAATGTTAATGTCATGAACTTTTATCCTTGCTTCTTTGATTTATTCACATTGATTATTATTTACATCTTGGATTGCACTATCAAATGGTTTTTCAGTCTTGTAATTTGTAGCTTCCTTTTTCTTCATCCAGGGAAATAATTATGTCTGGAATTTCTCTGTTTTAGCAGGAGGTGAAAACAAAGAGGAGACACTTCAGCAAGAGAATACAGGGAGTGTAGGACCTCCAGAAATGTCTGCAACTCTGATTTCTGAGCTGGGAGAAGTGACTCTAAATCAACCAAGAAGGCCTGAAGGGAGAAGTCTAGGTTTATCCCAAGAAAAGAGATTTATAAGCCTTTTAGTTACCATTGATAATCCTTCTCCATTAAGAGAATTATCTCAGTGCATAGAAAACATAATACTTTCTGAGAGGGATATTTACCTCCCAGAGCTGGGTGTAGCAGCAGCTTATAGGTGTCATGAATGTGGTAAAAATTTCACTAAGAGCTCACGACTTATTTCACACCAGAGAATCCACACAGGAGAAAAGCCTTATGAATGTGCTGATTGTGGGAAGAGTTTTACTCAAAGATCTACCCTTTCTACTCATGAGAAAATTCACCTGGCTGAGAGGCCGCATCAGTGTGCTCACTGTGGAAAAACTTTTCGCCGAAGTACACATCTTATCCGACATGAGACTATCCATACAAGAGAGAAGCCCTATAAATGTGACCAATGTGGGGAAAGCTTCACTTGGAACTTCCAAATTTTACATCATCAGAAGGTGCACACAGAGGGGAAGCCCTATAAATGTCTCTTGTGTGAGAGAAGTTTCCGTAGGAACTCAGATCTTACCACTCATCAGCGCATCCATACGGGAGAGAGGCCCTTCAAGTGTTTAGAATGTGGAAGAAGCTTCAGTCAGAGATCAAACCTAATTACTCATAAGAGAACCCATACAGGAGAGAAACCTTATAAGTGTGTTGACTGTGGGAAAATTTTCCGCCGTAGTTCACATCTTACTCGACATGAAATTACCCATAGGGGAGAAAAAATCCACAAATGTAATGAATGTGGAAAAATATTCACTTTATATACTGAGTTTGTGCAGCATCAAAAGATTCACGAGGAAGAGAAGCTGTATTGTTGTATTGAGTGTGAGAAAAGCTTCAGTTGGAAATCAGACTTTATTACTCACCAGAGACTCCACTCAAGAGAAAGAGTTAATAAGTATCCCACGTGTGAAAAAAGTTTCAGACTGAATTCTCATCTTGTTATTCATGAGAGAACCTACACAGGAAAGAAATGCTATCAATGTTTTGAGTGTGATAAAAGTTTTTATAAAAATTCTGACTTCATTATTCATCAGCGACTCCACACAGGAGAGAAACCTTATCATTGTGCCAACTGTGGGAAAAACTTCAGTCGGAACTCACATCTCATTCGGCATAGAAAGATCCACATACGAGAGAACTTATATAGCTCATAGGGCAGTTCTCAGTATTTTGGCTGTGTTTAACATCTTTGGGGACTAGTGCACCACATAACAATTTTTGGCAAGACTTGGGCCCTCCCGAGGGGGAGAAAAGTGATAGTATTGCAGCATTTACAGTGTTGTGTTTTAATCTAAATTTTTTAGCTTGGGGTTTTTTTTTGTGTGTGATGGTTTTACTATTTGAAGTGCTTGAAAAAAAAGTATTTATGAAACTAGGTAGGTGAAATTTTGTAATAAAAAGACCAGATGTTAGAGTTGATTCTGAAATGAGCAACATTAAAATGTACTAAGGTTACTAAGCATAGGAGACATCCTTTATCCTTTGTATAAACTCAAGCTATTTCCAAGATTGCACTTTTATTCTCACTTCAAACAGGAATATATTTCATTAGAGTTCAGAGTCACTAAAACACAAAAACAAAAACATAAAATGTAAAGGTTTTTTTTTAAAAAAGCAAAAGCTAGGTGTGAGTTCTATTTGCCAAGCTGAAGTTATATTACTTGTTGCAACCTCATTAGTATCATCCAACTCTTCCTCAGTGCTTTTACATCCTCAATAAACCTCTTTTGTTTGACTAACTTGTGGCTTTTGAAGTGTTGGAGTCCATATGTTTATCCTTGTACCATTAGCCCTCTTGAGTGGCAAGAACAAATAAGCATTTTACACCTAGCACAATTATAGGCTGGTATATCCAGCATAGCTTTAGGCTTTGAGAAAAGCCTTTGTTTGCTGTTGTTTGCACTGCTGGCCTTTGCCAGTTGTGCCATTGTTTACTGTGGTCCTATTCCAAATACCTTCTCCAAGCCATTTCTTTAGCCTGATAGTGTCCATTATATACAATGCCCTCATATCATGGCAGATGGTTGCCTGTCCTTGGCTGGGAGAAAAAAACCCTTCCTTGCTTCATTCCATTAATACTCTTTTTTCTTTGCTGCTGGTTGAAGTTCTGAGATTTTTTTTCAAAAGGAAACCCTACATCCATCTCTGCCAATGTTACTATATTCATGGTGTCAGAAACCAAAGTATGTGTTCCAGTGTTACATTCACAGAATCTCAAAATTGGACAGAATGTGTGGAAATTTCCTGTTAGTCATGTTAGCTTTTACAAAGTCATTTCCAATAAACATAGTAACAGTGAAAAAATGAGGAAATACAATTAAAATGACAGGATACTCTTTTCAGGAAGCTGTCAGTTCAAAAACATTCCATTATCCTCTCACTCTTGCAACAGTCTTAATACTTGTCACATCATGAGACCTCACTGACTGTACGCTTCTGTTTTCCTCTTTTGTGCTCAAGTATAATCTATGTTGATTAATTCTAGGATCTCATTTTTTAATACGGTCTTTTCCTTTAAGCTGTATGTAATCATCAGTAATATACATTACTTTAGTTGTTTAGTGTAAATATGGAGCTCTCTGTGTTTTACTTTGATACAGAGAATGCAGCAAAACAGTGGATTAAAGAGAATTATTTTGTATGCTATACCAAATAGAATTATAAGGTTGAGGATTGCTTCAACCAAAGCAATTAGGCTAAGTTAGTGGGAGCTATGTTGTAAACAAAATCCTCTTGATCCTAATCAAACATTCTATAAAACATAAACGTCAGTCAATCATTCAGTAATTATTAAGCACCTGCTATGTGCCAGGCATTGTGCCAGGAACTAGGAATACAAAGCATAAAAAGTCTCTGCCCTCAAGAAGCTTACATTCTAAAGGGATACAACATAGATTTATATGTCTAGAAAATACATGTACAAAGTAGATATATACTTACTTTGGGAGGGAAGGGCCTAGAAGCTGGTGGGACCATGAAAAGCTTCATGGGGAAAGTATTGAGCTTACTCTTGAAGAAAATCAGAGATCTTGAGAGACTGATGAGAGGAGATGGTACATTACAGGTTTGTTGGACAACCAATGCAAAGGCATGGAGATGAATAGACAATTAACAGATCCAGTTTGGACTAAAGGGTGTGTGAAGGTAGTAATGATTAATAAGATTGTAAAGGTAGTGTGGGTCCAGCTTGTAAGGAGCTTTAAATGCCAAACAGAGGAGTTTTATATTTGATCTTAGAGGAAGCAGAACTACTATGGTTATTGAGTATGGCACTGGGAGATGGGGTGACATGGTCAGAATAATACTTAAAGAAAATTTTTGGTGTCTATGGGGAGTATGGATTTGAGTAGAGAGATGCTTGGGACTGGATATATATATATATATATATATACACACACACACACACACACACACCCCCATACACATATATATAAACATATAAAATGTATGTGTATGTGAAACATATATATAAACACATATAAAATATGTGTGTGTATGTAAAACATGTATACATAAAACATACAAAGATACTGGCTCATTGAGTTTTGATGGTTCAGAGTGAGTGTAAATGGCAATTGTTTCTGTTCTGGCCAGAAACTATGAGGGTCTTCCCCTCCCAGATGGATTCTTTTGGGAAGTCAAACTAGGCCATCTTTTGCCTCTTATTTTATTATCTTATCTAGCTTTTAATCACTGAATGGGTGTTGCCTCAGACAAACTGAGACCTGGGAAACACCTTAGCCTAAAAAGGCCAGGGTGTCCCGCTGAATCCGGAGCCATCACCAGTCATCCTAACCATTGTCTTGCCACTAGCCTCTGAAGACTCTGGAGGACAGAGTGAAGCTGATGACTTTACACAGCCTTCCTCACTTAAATCCAATCCACTTCAAGTCAAGACATCACCCTCCTGATGTCATTGGTCCTTTTAGAGAACGAAGGATGAACAACAGACAACATAAAGATACTAATTGAAAGTATGGGAATGGATGAGGTTACCAAGAGAAAGAGTAGAAAGATAAAAGACATCTCCTAGGATAGGACTTTAAGGTATGCCCACAGTTAAGAAGCATGGTATAGATGAAGATCTAGAAGAGAGAGACAAGAAGTGTCAGATAGGCAGGAGGAAAACCAAGAGAGTGGTGATATGAAAACCCAGGGTTGAGGAGCAGGGTGGTTTTCTCTTGGCTGGAAATTCAGTAACATGATGATTGGAATAATAAAGGTGACAACTATCCAGTGATGAATGGAGTCTGAGTAGAGGATCATTAGATAGGAGCAGCTGCTGATAAGGCAGATGAGTACAATATTCCAGATCCTAGCTGCCTCTCAGTTGTGGTCTTGGTGTAGTTATAGTCAGAGTAAAGTCATGCTGTACAGTCATGATTGTAACAGTCACTGCCTGTCTATAGTACTGGCACAGCCTAATCTACCTCATAAGGTGCCACTTGGCACAGTGTGGTCTGTCCTGCTGATCTCAATTCTTTAATTCTTTAACAGCATCCAGAAGACTATTAAAATTAGGGAGGCAATCTTGGAATCCGAGTGGTCCGGCTAAAGCATATTTGGAATCTGAGCCACAGGTGAAAGACTCACCTGTAGCTCCAAGAAGTTATAACATCCAGTAAAACCCCCTTGGCAGATGAGCTAAACAGGCCTCAAACCCATAGATGAATCAGCGGGATGTCTACTGCAAGCATATGAAGACTTTACTCAGCGGAATGGGCAGATCAGAACAGTTAGTTCCAATGGCCATGAAGGCAGTTGAAGCAGGACCTGTGGAGCACTTAGAGTTTGATCAGACATTGAAGATTCCAAGGTCATCCACTGCATCTGGGGCCATTGCCAGTCATCTTGACCTTTGTTCTGCCACTGGACTTTGATGATTCAGGAAGAAAAAGTAAGACTGATGACTGTATAACTCTGCCTCACTTACATCTAATTCATTCTCAAGTCAAGACATCACCCCATGATGTCATTGGTCCTCTTTGAAAACAAAAGACAACAATTTGGAATTTAAGATTACTGTAAACAGATTCCCCATTTTTAATTCTGCATACACTGCAACTGGGGTGGTTATAAAGGCTAGGATGTCAACTGATTTCCAATTCCATGCCAAGTATCTGGTATTATTACAGGAATACTTAGAATGAATTGACTAAGTTCTTGTAGGGGTTGATCTATAAATCATAGTGGTTTACATAATCCCATATGCCCCGCTAGATAACCTGTAGCTTGGGACTTTGACTCTTGTAATAAGTCCATATGCTTAAAAAATGTATTATTAGTGGCTGAACTTAGAACCTTTAGGCATACCTTTGTGGCCGTAGGTTAGAAAGGATTCCCAAATTACTTAGCTGCCAGATCAGTACTGGTGAGTGAGGTCATCATGTAGGCCTCAGGACTGGTTATTTAATAAATCTTGGATCTCAGAGGACCTTTGTCTCATTGGAGTGCTGGTTTGACCATCTTACTTATTAGTAGTGAGAAGAGGGTTCACTTGTGGTTGCCCAGTAAAGAAATGATGTGAAGCTTTCCCAAAACCTCCTAAAGTTGATTCATTTGGACTCATATCATAAGGTTATCAGAGGTTTCTTTCTAGGCTTTTATGTATATGTAGAACAAGACTTCACTTGGTCCTGTCCCAAAGAGAGCTAAATCCCAGTTTCCTCTTCAAAGTAATAAGGCAATTACATGTTCTAAATATTGCCAATTACATAACTAATCCATTTGAAGCAATAAAGATATTAGATGAAAATTGAAGGTATGCCTATCAATTGGGGAATTGCTAAACAAGCTGTGGTATCAGATTGTAATGGAATATTATTGTGCTGTAAGAAATGACAAACAGGATGATTTCAGAAAAACCTGGAAAGACTTACATTAACTTATGCATAGTGAAGTGAACAGAACCAAGAAAACATTGTGCACAGTAACAACAATATTGTTTGACGAAGAACTGTGAATGATTTAGCTATTCTTAGCAATACAATAATCCAAGACAATCCCAAAGGACTAATGATGAAGTGTACTATCTGCCTCAAGAGAAAGAACTGACATTGTTTGAATATAGACTGAAGCATGCTATTTTTCACTATCTTTTTTTCCTTTTGTTCGAGTCTTCTTATACAGAATGACTAATATGGAAATATTTTACATAATTGTACATGTATAACCTATATCTGATTGCTTACCATCTCAGGGAGGGGGGAGGGGAGGAATAGAATTTGGAACTCAAAACTTTAAATAAAAATGTTTCTAAAAATTGAAAAAAAAAAGTAAGGATATTAGGAAGCAGTGTGAAGGTTAAAGTAAGAGAAATTTTATAACTCAATCAACGAGCATTTATTTAGTACTTATATGCCAGGCATTGTACTAAGCACTGGGAATACAAATAAGTGAAAACAGTTCCTGCCTTTGTGGAATTCACATTCTAATGAAGAACAGAATATGTACATACATAGGATAGAGATAGGGGGTGAAGCTATCTCTTGGGGACTTGTCAGGGGGACAAGGCTTGGTCAGTTATGGTTCTCCTTGAAAGAGGCAGTTGTTTGTACTTTGAAACATTATAAGGGTCTAAGCATCCTACAACTTCGACAATGCCTTTTCTTTTTTAAAAATCAATCAATTAATTAATTTTTAGTTTTCAACATTCACTTCCACAGTATTTTGAGTTCTCCCCATCTCTCCCCTCCCCCACCCCAAAACAGCATGCATTCTGAATACCCCTCTCCCCAAT